TGCAGGTTTGTTACATGGGCAAATTGCATGTCACCCAGGTAAGGAGCATAGAACCTGATAGGTGTTTTCTGATCCTCACCCTCCACCCACCCTCCATCCTCCAGCAGGCCCCAGGGTCTGTTGTTCCTTTCTTTGTGTCCATGTGTACTCAATGTACTACTCAACTCCTACTTATAGGAGAGAATATGCAGTACTTTGCTTTTACTTTGTACTTTGTTATTCAGTTTTTACCTAATTTTGTTGCCCAAAGCTTTATTGTTTACCTTTCATATTAAGGTCTATTATCTACCTCTAATCTTTTGTATGATATGAAATATGTAACTTAAGGTTCCTTTTTTCCCATACACATATCTAATTGCCTTAGGATCGTTTATTGAAAAGACCATTTTTTTCCTTACTGAATTGTAATGTAGAGTTCATTATAAATCAGCAACTCTATGTGTGGGTCTATTCCTTTTTTTTTTTTTTTTTTGAGACAGAGTCTTGCTCTTGCCAGGTGCCAGGCTGGAGTGTGGTGGCACAATCTCGGCTCCCTGCAATCTCCGCCTCCTGGGTTCAAGCAATTCTCCTGCCTCAGCCTCCCGAGTAGCTGGGACCACAGGCGTGAGCCACCATGCCCAGCTAATTTTTGTATTTTTTAGTAGAGGTGGGGTTTCACCATGTTGACCAGGATGCTCTTGATCTCTTGACCTCGTGATCTGCCCACCTCGGCCTCCCAAAGTGCTGGGATTACAGGCGTGAGCCACCACGCCCGGCCATGTGGGTCTATTTCTGAACTCTATTCTGTTCCATTGATTTCTATCACCAATACCATGGCATATTAATATATATACATATATTTATCCTTATAAAACATCTGTTTCTGATAGTGTTAAGCCTCCAACTTCTGAATTTTATTTGCTATTCTAGGTCTTTTGTTGTTGTTTTGTTTTATTTTATTTTTGAGATGGAGTTTTGCTCTTGTCGCCCAGGTTGGAGTGCAGTGGGGGCAATCTCGGCTCACTGCAACCTTCTCCTCCTGGGTTCAAGCGATTCTTATGCCTCAACCTCCCGGGTAGCTGGGATTGTAGGCACCCACCACCACACCTGGCTAATTTTCATATTTTTGGTAGAGATGGGTTTCACCATGTTGGCGAGGCTGGTCTCAAACTCCTGATCTCAGGTGATCCGCTGCAGCCTTCCAAAGTGCTGGGATTACAGGTGTGAGCCACTGCATCCGGCCATAGCTATTCTAGGTCTTTTGTATTTCCATATACATTTTAAAATCAGCTTTGCAGTTTCTATTTTTAAAAGGCTTGTTGGGATACTGATTAGGATTATAGTTCATCTACAGATCAACATGGGAAGTGCTGACATCTTAACAATACTGAGCCAATCTATTAACATGGTATAGCTCTTTTTTTAGGTCTTTAATTTCCCTCACCAATGTTCTCATAATTTTCAGAGTAGGGATCTTGCACATGTTTCATTAGATTTATTCTCATGTGATTGAAGTTCTTACTGCTTTTGTAAATTATGTGTATATATATAATTTACAAATATATATTTAAATATGTATTTTATGTATTTATATATTTTATATATTTAAATATATATATTTTTATATATATATTTAAATATGTTTATTTAAATCAGGCTGTGTCCCAAACAAGAATAGGTTCAGAGAGACTCCCAAATTATATTTTTAAAATCTTATTTTCCAAGTGTTGTTTCTAGTAATACCTATTATATAGTGTTTTTGTATCCAATTATCTTGCTAAATTCATTTATTCTAATAGCTTATAATAGATTTTATTTTTTAAAACATTTCCTACATATACGGTCATATCATTTGCAAATAATGAGTTATGCCTCGCTTCTTCCTTCCTTCACATATCTATATACTGTGCTTTTTTCTATATACTCTCCATTTCTATTTTCTTTATTATCTTGCCTAATTGCACTGTCTAGAATCTCCAGTACAATGAAAAGCACAGTGGTGACAGTATACATCCTTGTCTCATTCCCAACCCCCAGGGGAAAGTGATTCAACATTGTATTACCAAGTATAGTATAAGCTGTAGTTTATTTATAGATATCCTTTATTAGATTAAGGTAGTTCTATATCTTTGCTGAGAGTTTTTATAATAAAAAGATGAATTTTGTCAAAGGCTTTTTCTGCATCTATTGTGTTCATGTGGTTTTTATCACTCTGTTAATGTGTAGAATTACACTGACTGAATTTGAACCCTTCATTACATAACATTTATAGGAGTCCACTGGCTTGAACTGAACTCCTGCACTACGCGCAACAGACGAAATCATCATGGATCCACTCATGCTGAAAGTCCATGCCACAAAGCTCAAACTAAGAGTTTTTTTTCTTTTACTCTAACATAAGTCGTCATGCTAGTATATCAAACTAAGATCTTTAACTGACCTTCCAAAAAATCCGAAGATGCCTTCAAGATAGTGGTGTCAAAAATAAAAATAAAGAAATCAGTAGAAGAAATAGCCAAATCCTGAAACAGGCCAGGTTTAGAGGCATGATATGGAAATCCTCTCTGCTTTGCCCTTTACAAGAAAAGTAACTAGAATCTGAAATAAAGCCAATTAAGGTATTTAAATTTGTTGTAATTTTGGTTTTTGATACTTTCATAACCAGGATAAATGCCACTTGGTCATTAAAGAAAAAAAAA